AGTAAACTAGCATGTGCTATTTTTGTTGTTTAGTTCTATCTGTGCAACATGAATCCATTTGGTCCAATAGTAAAATGCCAATCTCACACACGCTTAATGAGTGTACCCATATGTGTACAGTCTGTGCATGTTGTGATCTAAATGCAGTTTTTTTGGTGAGGTTACATTTCAGGACAGTTTCTGTTATAGCTGTCTCGCAGGCACATTTCTTCATCTTGTTTTGCATGTGCTTTGTTGTATCCAAGTCCGACTTAATCAAAACTCATGCTTCCTGTCAGAAAACAATACTTAGACATTTTAATTCCTGTCCGCTGCCTGCCTAAATCCATCTTGAGCTGTCCTCCCCCACCTTCCCTTTTTAGGACACTGTATTTATAGAAGCGATAAAAGCACAAAAGCTGCTCTATTGTAATTGATTGTGTTCAGTGTGATTTGGACTCAGAGAGGACTATCACCCAGACTGCCGTGGCCCAGCAGTGTACATTTCACACAACTCCTATTTAATCCTCTAAGAGCAATTGGTTTGGGAGGCCTGGCATCAGTCCTGCCTCAGTGATATGAAATCATATTAGTCGCAGCATTCGTGAGAATAGCCTCTGACAGAGGCCTGGGCACACCTTCAAGTTTGCCTCTTTAATTATTCATACTATTTATTTGCTGTTTAAACCCTTACACCTGATAACAGCGTGAGTTATTGTTTCACAAAAGGGTGTTTGCAACCTTAGTAAATTGTTTTGTTTTGTGCATGCAATTTTAAATTGGTTGCTGGCTTTAGACAAAGGGATTGTCAAGCATTATAATGCATTTTCAATTAGAACTTGTTAAGAAATAGAATTTTATCTCTAATTTGCAAACTTTTTTTCTCCTGGAAATTGATTAAGACGCTGTGGTGTGGCCCCCGAGGATCAAAGATGATGACTTTTTCTGTCTATACTTAAAACAATTACACATTTTAGTGTGCTTAAAAATGCTTAGTAATTTGTATTTGTAACATTTAATAAAAAAAATGCCTCTGTAACTTTCCTTAATGTGCCAGTTGAGTCCATCTCATTTGGTAAAAGTGTGGATCTCATTCTTATCGATTATAAAACAAATAGCATACAGTTTGTGATAGTTTGAACTAAGTCTGCATGTCTCACCCAGAGCCTGACAACTGGCCGTTTATTATTGACTGACTGTCCACAAATAAACATGTGTGGTCCTCTTACCTCATTAATATTGTCAAGTGTGCTCCATTTGATCAGTGCTATGAATGTGTCTGGACCGTGCAGACAGCTCATGGAGTCACGTGTAATGCATCTGTTTCAGAGCTCATCAGCCGTTTACCCGGGCAGATGAAGACGGATGTCATGTCCACTCATTTGCCTGATGAGGTTATTAAATGAACACTCCGACCAAATATAGCGGTAATTTAGACAGCAATAAAACCAAACTGTTTTAAAGGCCGCTGCTTACATGTGGGTCTGATAAAGAAGGTCAGAAAACTACACCGGAGGGATAATACTTTGCATAAACACACAGAAACTGCAGGATGAAAACTCCTTTGATGTACACGTGTATATGTTTTCTGTGGGGGGGTAGTTTCTACAAAATATATATACTTACAATTACCAAACCTTGTGTTTCAGAGAGTTCCAATAGAGGACCAGACTGATTAATGTGTTTGTGTCTGCACTGCTGTTTTGTGCATCTGTGCAATAATGGAACTGATGTCGGAATGTGCAATATAAAACCACATGTGCCACTGTCACCTTACTTTACTCATCTGTGCAATAAAAACTTTAATAATGTCAGAACAAATGTAAAATATAGAACCACAGGTGTTACTGTCACTTTACTGAGTCACTCTGCCCCAGACCCTCACGCTGCTAACATGTGCAGATGTACTGTACATACAACTATATACACGAGAATATACCGTAAATTATTCTTACTTTTTCATTACGCTATAGTCTGAGGTCTTAGATTTGCTTCCTTATTATGCTAAAGATAGAGAATTGATACTGCTTTGATGCCAAAGAGATTTTATTTTAGTATGGAGTTATTGTTCCTTTATCTTCATTCCTTCTGTTCTATAACCGGTGATGCAACACTGAAATTTCCCCACTGTTAGGACAAAGAAAGGATCTCTTAATCTTAATCTTTCCTTATTGGAACAGGAAACTCAAATAAGAGACTCATGAGAGGCTCATTCTGCTTTCTGATTTCAAACTCAACTTGAGAATGGTTAGCATAAACAATGTGGCCATTATTTGGAGTTTGCATGTTCTCCCCGTGTCTGTGTTGGCTTCCTCCAGGTGCTCCGGTTTCCCCTACCACTAAAAAAACTGTATACATGTACAGTATAGGTCTGGCATTTGCCTCCTGTAGTGGCGACCCCGCTCCCATCTCTGTGGGGAGAAGAGACAAATGCCCACAACACACACACACACACACACACACACACACACACGATTTGGGTCAGGACCAGAGCAGCTGTATTTCCTCTCTGCATTCATCTGCATTTGTCTCTTCATCATCCGCCAAGCTTGTTTTGTTTCTCCACATGCTCCACTCAAGCGTGTGGTGGCAGTACAAGAAATGTATAATGAATAGTGCACATACCAATATCGCGATGACAACATTTTTTCAATATATCGTGCAGCCCAAATACAAAACCATTAAATATGTATTTGAGTGGTAATAATCTGTAAGGGGGACCAAATCAGTTGCAGAAGTTTAACTATTCAAATACATTTTCATTGCAGCAACCCTTTTGAATACTGAAACACTGTTTACTTCTGTAGCTGTTACATAACTAGTTTGAAACAGAACTAAATGTGCTTTTTTTCTCTCTTTTCTCTTGGGAAAGTTTAACAAGGGGAAAGTTGACAACACTCTTTTCTTCTATATTGCACCAAACTTAATAAAACTGCATATCCATCTTCATTACTGACGGAGATTGCCTCCCTCAGAATTGGTTCAAAATGATAGTCTGACAGGCTATTTGTAAAGGGGAAATAGAGGACAGAAAATGTGACAAAAAGTATTTCTGCCATTATCTTCATTTGGACTTGGACCTGAATTAACATCAGCCACGGCACCAGCCAAGGTAACACAAATTGGGGTCTATTATGCCGCATCTTAACTGTCATTACCAATAACTCCAGTTCACTTTCAATCCATCCCCCTACTGCTTATCAGTGGTAATCGTAAAAACTCAAACGGTTAGTGTAGTCCCTTCCAGCAAGCCTGCCTTTCCAATCGAGTATTCCGGTTCCAGACACAGTCATTTCCCAGCCCAGTGGAGCAGCTCTCTCTGACCTCTGCCTCGACCTCCACCTCCAAGGACCCTGGATTTGGTACTAGCCTATCCAAGGGAGGGCGGGCAGGAACCACTTCTACTTATTTATGAGCTATTTCACACAGTGCTGCGCCTCTTTGACAGCCAGCCTTGGTGAAACTTACGCTTGACTCTGCAGTTAACACAGCACAGCCAAAGGGACATGTGGAGGGACTGCACAGAGATGTGGTTGAAGGAATACATTAAATACTGTAGTGTGTAAGCCGGAAAAAGTTGAATATTGAGTGATTTGTTATGTATACACAGTATTTACATGATTCAAACCTTAACTTATATGACATCTGGGGCAAAACATATCTGAGTTCACACACTACATGTAAGCGTTCAGGGCTGTTTCATTGTGCCAGCATGAAAAGGCCTCCCTGGTCTAGACCAAGGGCTTCCAAAGTTTTTAGCCCGTGACAAACGACGCTGCCGTGCGATCGACCCCCCCAACTCCCCGACCCCGCCTCAACAGCCCTTCCCATCGCATTAAATGTAAAGCATGTATTTGTTCTCTGCTCTACACTCCTCCATAGACTACACAGAGACAGCATCAGCAGCCGAGTCCCTGTGTGCTCTGCCCGCTGTGTACACAGACTATGACAGGAGGAGGGCCTTTTTTGCGGTTCGCCCTCACTGTTCTCCGCTGCCCTCTTGGATATTCCCTCCTCCGAAGTCTTCGCACCATCAACCAGCCTCACCTCTGGCACATGTGACTTTTCTCCCCCATTGGGTTTTGACCACTTTTCATTTTAAAGCAGGTATTATTTGTGTTGTAGCCTCCAAACACCTTTAGCTTTAGCAAACAACATCAGGATACAGCGCACTATCGATGCAATACAATATCATTTGATTCCAGTTACCAGTTCAGGCTGGTAACTACCGGTAGTGACAGCTGCCCCTCAGTATGCAGTTTTTTATACGTTGACTTTAGGGGAAAATTGATGAGTAACTATAATACACAAGTAATATAGTAAATAACCCTGAATGAGCCCACTGGACTTCTGCACGGAGTCTTTATTATCCAAAGTAAATGGTTATGCGCCACACATTTTACTCATTCCTTCTAATGTAATTAATTTATTAGGCCTACTTATTGTCAATGTTTTCTAATGAGACAAAACAACAACAACTTTTATATAATTATTTATCATTTCCTGCTTTGATGAATGCTGAACCATGAATATGTTTGGCATTTTATTCAAATGACGCTAGTTTCCAGAGGTTGCATTTATCATCAGCTGCTTCTGCGTACAGAGGAATCGGAGTACTGCGCAAAGGTTCATAAATATAACATGCTCCCTCTGGCGTATGGAGAAAATAGGCAAAATATATGCCAGTTTCTCTGAAATGTTGATAAATGAAAGCATATTTCTTGTTTTCTTATCTTTACAAATGTATTTTTCCTGGTTATACAAAAAGCATGGATAAACTTGATTGATGACAGAACAAATAAAAACTATCAGCAAGATTAACAAATGCATACATGACTTAATATGAAGGGAAAACAAGAGACACAAGAGAAACAAGATTAGTCCGTGCTGCAGAATGCAAAAACAGTGTAATTGAAAATGAATGGGTTTATTTCACATTAGGGAGAAAGTCAGTGGCGTGAATGACGGGCTTGAGAGATGTCTATAATAATAACACTGCTGATGAATGGAGTTGCACTGACCTGAGATGGAGACAAAGGCCTTGCCCTCTTCTCCCAGCAGTGGATTGATGAGCTGACAGCTGTAGGTGCTGCTGGGCTCCAGGACCACCGTCAGAACACTGGTGAGACTGAACAGCCCCTGTTCATTGGCCACGTGTGAAGTCGTGATGTTATCGGTCAAAGTGTGTCCGCCCTCGTCGCGCCATGCCACAGTCGCCTGGGGATATCCACCGTGAGCCTCGCAGGTCAGCGCCACCTCGTCCCCGGGCCGATGGTTCACGTTTGGCTCCAAAGTCACCACTGGTTGGGAGTACGGGGCTGGAACAATGTTATTCAAATATTTACAGATGGACCTTTAATGTTAACTCCTTGAAGAAACCATGTACGTAGTTTTTTTTTTCTCTTTATTTTGAAGATTTAGAGCCACTATTAACACAATTAATGTTATGTTTTTCTTTTTAGCCCCCTAGTTTTTTTATTTATAGGCCTTTACCAAATGGTTGAGATGCAGTTAGATGATTAAAGTGCCTAAAACCAAGTGATAAAGAAGCCCCAATGAGGTAGATTTCAGTTCCAAGCATGCCTCAAGGTAGATATAGTGACTCAAAAGTGATCCACCAAAGGGTTGAGGAAACCATATATACTGAAATATAAATGGGGGGCGGCTTATACAGGTACATTACTCTTTTTAACCAAAGTCTAGCCAAGTAGCTCGACTTTTAACAAAGAACTCAAAACTAGTTATTTTACTATCTCTGGTGAAAAGTTCATGCTGTATTCTTTGTTCAGTCATGAGCATAATCTGCACAAAGGGGCCTAGGGAATAGCAAACATGGTTCCCATTTAATTCTTAATCATATTTAGCGAGGTTAGCATAACATAGCGTACAGGATCCCCGAGCTGCAGACAGAGCATATGCGGCACGTCCAGTGATGTAATCCACCAGTCTCTCACCAGGGCCAATCCCACAAACAGCGAACCATGCAGCCAGTGAAAACAACCATCTATACACAGGGGAGACACAGGCCGCGTTGAGGAGAAAAGGATAGTAAGATGGGGGTTAGGGGTGAACCAGGCTTGGCTCAGAACATGCTTATCCAATCCCCAAAGGCAACACACAGGCATAAAGAGGCAGAGAAGACGAGCGGGCTTGAATTCCCATAACCAATCATTGCCCAGTAAACAGAATGGGTGGGTCTAAGGGTGAGATGAAATAAGACTGGCCAGCCTTTTGAGAATTAAGCTGATTTTGTCCTGACACACAATGTTACCACATGACCATCTGTATCACTTCCATTAACACTATCGCTTCATTTCATTGAAGAAAGAGGAATTAAAAGGTTTGGACTAAAATTAAAGCAATTAAAAGAAAGTCAATTTGTCACTGTTGGAGTTTCCCCTATCTCCAACTGTGAGGAAAAATACTCATTAGCAGTGCACAATGCCTGCTTAAAAAAGTAACTAACACTATTTTCCAGCATGGTTCAAATAATGACTTTTTCTCTAGCGTTGGAGGTAGACCGTCCAGTCTGGGAGACAACATAAGGGTTGTTAGTGATGGCTGATTGGTCGTAACAGCTAATAATCACAGTCAGCAAATACTGACCATGACAGAGACCACAATCAGCCTTTATTGACTAAAACACAGAGCAGTCGCCCAGGGAAAACTGATGAGCACCTGCGTATACTTCAGGGGAAGAAATTACCCTGAATTACCATCTACTGTATAATAGACTTTTATTGCATTTTGTTATTGGCTGTGTCCACATTAGGTTCAATTAATTTACAGTAGAATAAATTGTGGAACTATAAACTAAATTGATCCTAATTTATTCTCGTTTTATAACCCTTGCAGCTATTTCAACCAACCTCCCACTGCAAGAGAGCTTCAGCAATTTGGATGGTAGAATTAACTGACTCAGTTATTCAGAATAATAAATATATTTCCTTTGACAGGAACTAAACTGTATTGTATTATAACATGACTTTATTAGAGGAAAATTAAGGGTGCGTTCAAGAAGAATGTATTTTTTAGGGCCAATATCAATAATTAAGGAGGCCGATAACTGATATATCGAGCTTGATATATTGTATTCATTGTTGACTGTTGCATTTGCTTCTGAAAGGAAATTCAATTGACCAAATGTGAATACGCATTTCACAAGAGATTAGAAGTTAAGAAAATGATAGAAGTTAAACTTTTTCAGCATTCCTGCGTTAACAGTAGCTACCACGGTTATTGTTAAACCAACTTCTACCATGGAACAGTTGTAGAAAAGACAGAGTCAACATTGAAAAACGATCCCTCACCTGCCACCTGCAGAAATAACGCCGCACTGCCATAGCTCTGCACCCGCACAAAGCAGGTGTAGCTCCCCTCATCTGCCACCACCACGTCCCGCAGCAGCAGAGAGGCATTCCCCTGGAGCAGGCTCTGGGGGGACAGGTACGTGCGGTTGGCAAACCTGGCGCCCTGGTCCTTCAGCTGCTCAAGGCCATAGTTGAAGGCATACACGTTGCGTTTGGTGTCAGTGAGCTGCCAGAACACGCTCACGGCCGACAGGTTGTACGGGCTTTCTGCGCTGAAGGTGCAGTTGAGCCTGGTGTCTTGACCGTACAGAGCCACCATCGGCTGATCTGGGACTTGAACTTCCATCAGAGCTAGAAGACAAACAGATATGCATTTATTACCATAGATCTACATTGTCTTACTTCCAGGTGTGTTTTGTATATTTATTTAGTGTTTGATATTTTATTTTAGTTTATTTAACCTTTTTAAGCAGAAAAATCCCATTGAAATTCAAAGATCTCTTTTTCCATTGGGGTGTCCAACAATAAACATATATAAAAAACATCCAATACATTCAGTTTTGTAAAACATACAAATCATATTACAATTATAAATCATAATACAATTGTGAAAACAGCAGGTCAATAATTATATTTCGAGGTCTTTTAGAAGGGTCCCAAAATGTTCTATTCGTACAATAGAACATTTCTATGTTCTATTTCTATTCGTTGGAATTTAATAGTTTTCTGCAAGAAATTCCAGTCTGATGGAGCGCAATATTGAAACGACATTTTTCCCTTATTTCTGTCTTGATTCTGGGGATGATCAAAGTGTAGACATCCTGCGATCTCAGAGTGCAAGGTCTGCCAGACCTGCGCTGAGGATACACCCGGATATTTGTATCTATTAGGTTTTTTTGCACAAGTATTACAATAAGGGTTTAAACTGCAACCAGAAAATAAGCTGAATCTGGAACAGTATGACATTTTAAACAATCGTGTTCCCATCATCAAACAACTATTTCCCTAAAACTCAATGAACCTAGTTAGAGTGGTTTAGATTAATATTGCATTGTATAGTAAACAAAATAATCAAGTTCAGAAGAGCATCATGTCTTTTTCTTGTCCATTTCTGTGTTAAAAAGAAAATAAGGATTCTCCATTTACCCCTGGGTCGAGTAAAACAGGATCTGCTGAATCACAACTAGTTTATTATTCTGCCGTTGGGAGTGACATTCTGTCACCTGGTATAATGCGAACGTCTTTGAACATGTCCATGTAGCAACTGTTGTAAAATCTCATTTATGGACCAATGAAAGACTTTAGTTTTGTGAATCAATGCAGTTCAGATTATTTATTTGAGCTCAGAGCATTACATACAGCTGATACAACAAAAAGAAAATGTTTGTTTTATTATATATAAAGTTTGGAGGCCTTGCCTTAGAGATAAAACAACATCTGTGCAGGTGTGCTGTTGGTAAAGCAGGGTTAGGAGTTTGGCAGGGTTTATCTGCAAAACTCCAGCAGGCAGGAATGGCTACTAATGGATTCATGGTTTTCCAGAACATGAAAAGAAGAATCCACTGCTTGGAAAGAAAAAGACTTCTTGAGCATGACACTGTTTCATTACTTTGTCTGTTTACAACTGCATACATACAGCCAGCAAACACTCAATACATTAGTTTAATTATGCAATTGTCAAATTATTAGGCAAGGCAAGTATTTGAATAGCACAATTCATACACAATGCAACTCAAAGTGCTGAACAAGACAAAATAAGATAACCCTAAAATCATAAATAATCACAGTAAATTAAAAAGAAAGATAAGAATATAAAATCCCTCAGTTGTGTGCACAGCTAAACAGAACTGTTTTAACCTGGATTTAGACATTGTCAGAGAAGAGGCCTGTTTCACACTTTCAGGAAGATTGTTCCAGATTTTAGCAGCATTAATCTGAAAAGCAGCCTCCCCATGTTTAGTTCTGACTCTGGGCACTAACAGGAGTCCAGTCCCTGTGTAAGTAAGTAAGTAATCTTTATTTATATACCGCCTTTTCACTGCACATCGGAGTCTCAAAGCGGTTTACAATTGTGATTTTTGGGAGTGGGGGTGCCAGTACAGGAGGCACATGCCAGACCTATTGTACATATTTTTAGTTGTAGGGGAAACCGGAGCACCCGGGGGAAACCTACGCAGACACGGGGAGAACATGCAAACTCCACTCAGAAAGGCCCTGGTCCAACCGGGATTCGAACCCAGGACCTTCTTTCTGAGAGGCGAGAGTGCTATCCACTCAGCCACCTGTGCTCCTCAGAGTCCGGGCTGGTTCATATGGGACTAACATGTCACTAATATAGTTTGGTGCGAGGCCATGGAGAGACTTGTACACAAGCAGAGCTGTTTTAAAGTCTATTCTCTGAGCCACAGGAAGCCAGTGCAGAGACCTGAGGACCGGACTAATATGGTCGTACTTCCTGGTTCTAGTCAGGACTCGAGCTGCTGTGTTTTTGAATGTGCTGCAGCTGTTTTACAGCCTGTTTGGACAGACCTGCGAGCAGGGCATTGCAGTAGTCTAACTTACTGGAGACAAAAGCATGGATAAGAATCTCCAGGTCTGCTTTAGACACTATGTTTTTGATCCTGGCAAATTTGGTAAAAGGTGGTAAAAAGCTGCTGATGTTACTGATTTGATGTGGCTATTAAAATTTAAGTCTGAGTCCAGTATTACCCCTAGATTTCTGACCTGATTTGAAGGTTTTAGGGAGAGAGACTGTAGGTGACAGATGACGCTCTCTCTTTGTTTCTAGGTTTCAGTTTTGTCTGTGTTTAGCTGGAGAAAATTATTTTGCATCCACTCACTGATCTGTTGGATACAGTGAAGGAGTGAGTCCACTGGTCCATGTTCTCCTGCAGTTAGTGAGACATAGATCTGAGTGTTGTCTGCATAGTTGTGATAGGACACTTTGTTTCTGCGTATTAACTGATCTAACGGCAGCATGTAGAGATTGAACAGAAGAGGTCCCAGGATCGACCCCTGTGGGACTCCACAGGTCAGGGCCATATGATCTGAGACACAGTTTCCAATCTCCACAAAGTCTTCAAGGTGAGACTTAAACCAACTTAGGGCGGTGCCAGTGACGCCAACCCAGTCCTCTAGTCTCTGTAAGAGGATCTCATGGTCGACAGTGTCAAAAGTTGCACTCAGATAAAACAAGATTAAGATTGAGACTCTGCCTGCGTCAGTGTTCAGCCGGATATCGTTTGTTACCTTAACGAGAGCAGTCTCAGTGCTGTGGTGGGGTCTAAAGCCGGACTGAAACATGACAAATGAATTGTTGATTTTAAGAAATCTAGTAAGCTGTTGGTAGAACTTTCCCCATAAAAGGCAGATTTAGGAGAAAATTATCATTATGTATTCATCACCATCAAAGGGTCAGAGGTTTACATGCACTAAGTTGGTTGTCTTTAAACTCCTCCAAAGGTTGTCATGACTTCACAAGCAATCATCAAGTTTAACCATTGAGCACCATGTTGCGGAGGTGTTGTTGTGGTGTAAGATATACAAACTATAAAAATACATATATAAAGATTTCACTTTTGTTTATGGTGCATAGTGATACATCTCACCATAACTTAATTATAATTATTATAATTATATGTTAATTGTAACACAATTATATAGGTTATATCTTAAACAAGTTGTTACATGTGTGTTCAAACACAGAATCCCTCTTTACTTATAAATCTTCAGATATTTCTTTTTGAAAAGACACTCCTTTGTCACAGCACCAAAGTGCATTATTCGTCTAGACAGGGCAGAGAGTTCAGTACATAATCATTGTGGATTAGTAGCCTTCTCAGTCTAGAATATTCAGCAGACTGATTCTCAGGAGTCAGCATTCTCCATTGATCCACGTCTGCTCTTAACCCACATGGAGACACTCATCTGCATCACAGGGGGAGAAAAAGTACTATCTGACCCTCAAGCCAAATGCAACGCTTTTTACTCAACCTCCTCTAATTGTTATAATCATAGTGGCACTGAGCCTCAGCAGTCTGCTGAGCTCACATCACATAGGCCTGTCAATGCAGAATGACTTTGCTATGAAGGAGATTTGAATGCTGTTGGTGCTATAATTGGCTCCCGATTAACAACAAACAAGTCTTTCATCTGGAAGGGTTTCTTATGCTGTATGGATGGCTGTGGCTATGTCAAGATAGGCCCATTTTCAATCACACTGAGCTAGCTAACAAGGTTCCCCTCCTCTCTTCTACTCCCCCAACAGCCAAGGTATTTGTTGGAACAGTGCCATCTACTGGCACCTATTATATATAATGTATATAATATATATAAATATATAATATATAGATATATATAATTAAAAACTAATGTACAGAGATTGTTACTATTTATAATGAGTAGTTCAGTCTTCAGAGGACAAAACTACATGGGCTCAGCTTCGCAAAAGAAGAAGCTTTATTTGCCCTCTATAGGGTCACAGACATATTGCTTTTACTGAGTCTAACGTTTTAGAAAGTACATAAAGGAAGTGTGACCGGTTGAACTATTGTATAAATATTGCATGATTTTTTTTCCTACATGGGCGCTATCCCGCTGTCTACTGTATTCTAAATTCAAACACTTTGTGTTCAGATGTACCTTTAGAAGAAGAACAAAAGAATATGTGTGCAGTTGCATGTATGCTACCGCTAATTAGTAAGTTCAGGGACAGTTCTATAAACACTGTGTGCACACAGCGTGAGAGCAAAGCGGCGGAATGACTCACTGCAAAAAGTGATACGTGATGTGGGAGAGAGAAACACTTATACTATCTGGACACTGGCCAAATAACTCCACACTAATCCTTCAACATGGCCAAAGAGCAGGTCAGAAAGGATACTGTACAGAAAATTGTCATTATAATTCCATTGAAGGTTTCATGTGCTCCTCAGAAAGTCAATATAAATGGCGGCACGCAATATTTCACCTTAGTGTCTGATTTTCCCACTTCCATCATATTAAGTTACACAATGGTGGATATTTAACGCCTAACTTAATTACATTTTCATTAAAATATCACACTTCTTCCCTGTGTGCCATTTTATTCACACATTCCCAATACTCACTGATTTAACGCAATACTAGTATTGAATGTCAGCAATTGTTCATTACAACCCAATTAAGACATGCAGATATAATTAACTCCTGCATTTTGCAAGTGGCCGTTCAACTCCAAAATGAATGAAGCGATGCCTTATAATAGTTATAATATATTGTTACAAATGCAGCGTCAATTTGAGTCAATGAGTATAGCCCATGTTTCAAGTTTAAGGTTCCCCCTTCAATTGATAAAGCATAATCACACCAGC